ATTATCCCAATAGTAAAATCTTTACATTCATTTCAACACTTTCAACGATACATTATACTGGTTTTGCGAGTGTATATTAAATTTTACATAGCATATACGTATATGGATACAAGTTATCTTCTAAATGCATATCCAACCTCTTTAAAGTGCAGATGTATACCCATGTCAGTACTCAATCGTCCGATATTGAATAACCTTTACCCTAAATCTTAACAACATCTGAACCTGTCACACTCCACGATCGGTCGGTCCCAAGTTGATGCTGGTCTCATTCTGTCTTCTAAAGTCATGATTGCTGTCCACTCCTCTCCCATAACTCTTTCCTCTCTCTTTCAACCTTCGAGCAGGTACATCGTCCTATAGATAAAGTTATGTCATTTACATAGATTCAATTACTCTAAAGACAAACCCAAAAAATTCCATGACAAATGCTATTAAGTGGACACCTTCTCCATTCCACTCAATTTCAATAATATTTAACACATATTATTAACAAATTACCATGCCTCAATTTATTAAAGTTAATAATAATATTATTATTAAACTATAATATAATAATTGTGTCCACTCATTACTTACCTTAAAATATCTGTAGTCTTAATGTAGAGTGAGAGGTGAGTAAACAAGATTAAATGAATAAACGAATGAGAGGGTAGAGAGTTGGCGAGTTATGTAAACAAACGTCGTCGTTGTTACCAGCCCGGACACGAATGGTTTCTGTTCACTCTGTCAAGCCGACCAGAAAAACATCTCATATTTGTTAGTTTATATGTTATGTAGCATGTTTATTATAATTTTGAAAAAGAAATCATAGATGGATTAAGCAAAATGTCTATATCAACGTTTTATACACATTTAATGTGCCTCAGTGATTATTATTGTGTTATTATCATTATTAATATGGCATCTTCAAGACCAATTACACTCTTAATGAGTGGCTCTGAGACAGACAAGCAGACAGAAAGACAGACACAGGTAGACAGACACACACAGGTACACAGAAAGACACACACAGGTAGACAAAGACAGACACACAGGTAGACAGAAAGACACACACAGGTAGACAGACACACAGGTAACAAAGACACACACAGGTAGACAAAGACAGACACACAGGTAGACAGAGAGACACAAGTAGACAGACAGGTAGACAAAGACAGACACACAGAGACAAAGACAGACACTAGGTAGACAGAAAGACACACAGGTAGACAGATCACACACAGGTTAGCACAGAAGATACACAGTATGACAATGACAGACCACAGGTAGACAGAAGACACTACAGTAACAAAGACACACAGGTAGACATGGCCATTCACAGTACACAGAAAGAGCCACACATGTAGACAAGGGAAGACATCAGCGGAGACCAGAAGACAGACCACAGTGACAAAGACAGACTCACAGGACTTCTCTTAGGGGCCATGTGAAATGTTACTGTCCGTAGTACAGTTATACAGTATGAGTGCAGATAGGCAGGGTTATCAAATGATGCGCTGCACGGCGCATGCCGCGGGTATGTAAATGTGTACTAGTGGTGTGCACACGCCAGCCCAGCTGCCAGATGCCGGTCGTAAGTGAGTGAGTTTGTCGGAGCAAAGTAGAGTGCAGGTGTAAATGTATGGGAGAGGTAAGTACCTAGGATTGGCGAGAGCATGATAGTTCCTTTGTTAAAGGCTAAGGGGACAAAAGAAGTGCAAAGAATTAAGGGGAATAAGTCTGTTGAGTATACTGGTAAGTGTATGGCAGAGTTATTCGGAAAGGATTAAGAGGAAGAGGTAGGGGCGTTGACAGGAGGTTTACAGAAAGGTTAGGGGTTTCAATACCCCAGGTGGTCTAGAGGTCAACACCCCACGGCCATGGTTGAGACCAGCCCGGTGGAATCAGGGTTTGATCAACCAGGCTGTTACTGCTGGCTGCACGCAAGCTGACATATGAACCACAGCCCAGTTGGTCAGGTACTGACTTTAGGTGCCTGTCCATGCTCTTCTTGATGACAGCCAGGGGTCTATTGGTAATCCCCCTTATGTATGCTGGGAGGCAATTGAACAGTCTTGGGCCCCGGCACTTACTTCCTAACAAAGGGGTGTGTAGACCAAGTGTTTACAGTGAAACATATAGGTGAACAGTATTTAGATAAGGGTAAAGAGGTTTTTGTGGCATTTATGGATTTGGAAAAGGTATATGACAGAGTGGACAGAGGGGCAATGTGGCAGATATTGCAGGTGTATGGAATAGGAGGTAGGTTACTGAAAGCAGTGAAGAGTTTTTACGAGGATAGTGAGGCTCAAGTTAGAGTATGTAGGAGTGAGGGAGATTAGCTCCCAGTAAAAGTAGACCTTAGACAAGGATGTGTGATGCCACCGTGATTATTCAATATATTTATAGATGGGGTTGTGAGAGAAGTGAATGCACGGGTCTTGGCAAGATGTGTGGGGTTAAAAGATAAAGAATCTAACACAAAGTGGGAGTTGTCACACTTGCTCTTTGCTGATGACACTGTGCTTTTGGAAGATTCTGAAGAGAAGTTGTAGAGGTTGGTGGATGAATTTGGTAGGGTATGTAAAAGAAGAAAATTGAAAGTGAATATAGGAAAGAATAAGGTGATGAGGATAACAAAAAGATTAGGCAACGAAAGATTGGATATCAGATTGGAGGGGAGAGTATGGAGGAGGTGAATGTATTAAGATATTTGGGAGTGGACATGTCAGCAGATGGGTCTATGAAGGATGAGGTGAATCATAGAATTGATGAGGGGAAAAGGGTGAGTGGTGCACTTAGGAGTCTGTTGAGACAAAGAATTCTGTCCGTGGAAGCCAAGAGAGGAATGTATGAGAGTATAGTTATACCAACACTCTTTTACGGGTGTGAAGCATGGGTGCTGAATGTTGCAACGAGGAGAAGGCTGGAGGCAGTGGAGATGTCATGTCTGAGGGCTATGTGTGGTGTGAATATAATGCAAAGAATTTGTAGTTTGGGAATTAGGAGGTGCAGGATTACCAAAACTATTATGCAGAGGGCTGAGAAGGGGTTGTTAAGTTGGTTCGGACATGCAGAGAGAATGGAACGAAACAGAATGACTTTGAGGACGTATAAGTCTGTAGTGGAGGGAAGACGGGGTAGGGGTCGGCCTAAGAAAGGTTGGAGGTAAGGGGTAGAGGTTTTGTGTGCAAGGGGCTTGGACTTCCAGCAAACATGTGTGAGCATATTTGATAGTAGTGAGTGGAGACAAATGGTTTTTAATACTTGATGTGCTGTTGGAGTGTGAGCAAATTAACATTTATGAAGGGATTCAGGGAAACCGGCAGGCCAGACTTGAGTCCTGGAGATCAGAAGTGTCTGCACTCTGAAGGAGGGGTGTTAATGTTGCAGTTTTATAACTGTAGTGTAAGCACTCCTCTGGCAAGACAGTGATGGAGTGAATGATGAATTTTTTTCTTTTTTGGGCCACCTTGCCTTAGTGGGGAATCAGCCGATGTGTTAATAATAAAAAAAAACATTCATGGAACACACAACTGTGATAAAACACCTCAATTACTGGGAACGCTTGAAGTCCCTTAACCTGTACTCCCTAAAATGCAGGCAGGAGAGATACACGAGTTTATACACTTGGAAAATCCTAGAGAAATTAGTACCAAACTTGCACAAGAAAATCACTCCCTACGAAAGCAAAAGACTTGGGAGATGATGCAACATCCCTGCAATGAAAAGCAGGGGTGCACTAGCAGATAAGAGACAACACAAAAAGTGTCAGGGGCTGTAGACTGTTCAACTGCCTCCCAGCATACATAAGGGGGATTACCAATAGACCCCTGGCTGTCTTCAAGAAGGCGCTGGACAGGCATCTAGTCAGTACCTGACCAGCCGGGCTGTGGTTTGTACGTCAGTTTGTGTGTGGCCAGCAGTAACAGCCTGGTTGACAAGGCCCTGATCCACCATAAGGCCTGGTCAAAGACCAGGCCATGGAGGTGTTAGACCCCTGAAACCCTCTCCAGGTATACTCCAGGTAAACAGCAGGACCCTGCTTTACAGCAGTTCAGTTTATGGCATTTTGCTAATGCAGTGGCTTTCCATTATATTCATTCTTCATTTATTCAAACTTCCTACAATAAATATATTCACCACTCACTATAAGCTAACAACAAAAATATATGAATATAAGTAATGTGTGTACTGTATTTTTTTTATTATTATTATTATTTTTATTATCACACTGGCCTATTCCCACCAAGGACAGGGTGGCCCGAAAAAGAGAAACTTTCACCATCATTCACTCCATCACTGTCTTGCCAGAAGGGTGCTTTACAATACAGTTTTTAAACTGCAACATTAACACCCCTCCTTCAGAGTGCAGGCACTGTACTTCCCATCTCCAGGACTCAAGTCCGGCCTGCCGGTTTCCCTGAACCCCTTCATAAATGTTACTTTGCTCACACTCCAACAGCACGTCAAGTATTAAAAACCATTTGTCTCCATTCACTCCTATCAAACACGCTCACGCATGCCTGCCGGAAGTCCAAGCCCCTCGCACACAAAACCTCCTTTACCTCCTCCCTCCAATCTTTCCTAGGCCGACCCCTACCCCGCCTTCCTTCCACTACAGACTGATACACTCTTGAAGTACCTGTTTCGCTACTGTATATGCATTTATTTAGGTCTAACTGTATTGCTCACTTACCAATATAGTGTAAACATGATATCAGGCTTTTATATGCATTTGAAAGTAAAAAAAAAAAAAGGCTATGATTCACTTTACAGTGATTTTCACTTTCCATCAGTAGCCTGGAACCTAACCTGCTGTATAAGAGGGGCCCTCCTATATGAGGGGTACTGCCACACTATATATAAGAGGGTTACTGACATATATACAAGAGAGACTGGCCTGTAGTTTAAGACATCCTTCTTGATCCTCTCTTACTGAATTTGCTCCACGTGATCACCATTTTCCAGCTGTCTTCTGCCTCGTGGAAACTTGTTTCTTACATAGAAATATTTACCTAATAAATGTTTTGGTGGGAGTATCTGTGTGGACCCAGGTAACAGCCTTGACTGGTGCTCTGTGTGCAGGGATGGTGAGTGTGTGGGCTCGGTCACCCTTTCCAGCAGCAAGACCTGCAACATCCCACAGGTGGAGTGTGTTGTCGTAGCAACCCGTCAGCAACCTGTAATACTTGCATTTATTAAAATCAAATGAGAAAACTTTAAATTTTTTTAATCAATGTACAGAAACATGTTTTATATCTTTGGATTATTTTTTTATTTTGTTTACAAAAATATTACTGTTCTGTGGGAGTCCATCAGTTTCTTCAAAGATTCACAAGCTTCCTCATTTAAATCTAAAATCTTCACTTGCTAAAATTGTATGCAGTGATATTTTTTTTTTTTTTTTTTAACAAACAAGGTGTCTTCTGTCAAGGCAGGATGACCCATAAAAGAAGAAACAATTTCACCATCACTCACTCCATCATTGTTTTGCCAGAGAGGCACCAATACTAAAGTTCAAAATTGCAAATATTCCCACCTCTCCTTCAGAGAGAAGGCACTGTACTTTCCACCTCCAGGATTCAAGTCTGGCTAACCGGTTTCCCCGAATGCCTTCATAAATGTTACCTTGCTCTCACAGCATGTAAATTCATAGAAACTACTTGCCTCCACTCAGTCATGCACGCTTGTTGGATTTCCAAGCCCCTCATACAAAACCTCTTTTACCCCCTCCCTCTAACCTTCCTAGGATGACCCCTGCCCTGCCTTCCCTCCTCTACAGATTTATACACCTTTCAAGTTATCCTGTTTTTCTTCATCCTTTCTAAATGTCCAAATCACCTCTACAATTCCTCCTCCGCCCTCTGGACAATACTTTGAGTATCCTTGCACCTCCTTCAACTTCCAAACTATGAATTTTCTGCATAATATTCACTCCACACATTGCCCTCAGACACATCTCCACTGCCTTCAGTCTCCTCTCCACTGCAACATTCACAACCCATGCTTCACACCCATATAATAGTGTTGGTACCATTATACTCTCATACAGTCCCATTTTCCTTCATGGATAAAGGTTCTTTGTCTCTGAAGATGGTACAATGCCAGTATACAAACAATCAACTGTATATTTACCACTTGTCACTACATTGAAGTGCCGCCACCCAATCATCATGATGAAGTGAATCCTTCGGAGTAGGTGGAGGCTGCTTTTCAAGGTACTCAATTTCAACCACAGACTCGAAGCTCTCTCCACACTCCTCCAGCCTTTCCTGTAGAGTTCCGTGCAGAAGCTGTCCTTTCACAATGAAATGGAAGTTGGGAAGGGATTTCTGGTAATCTGAATCTGTGAATTACAAAAGATAAAAATGCATAAGACTTGTGTATCATTCAGAGTATACACAGCATAATACCTCCATTACAGATCTTGCCAGATACTCAGTGGTAAATTGTGCTGACATTCTACAATAAACAAAATCAATATGGAAACACTATGGGTTACCAGAGGAAAAGTGAGGACAAGGGATGGGAAGGCAAAAGGATGGCAAAGTGAGAGAGAGAGAGGATGCAGGAGGGAATGGAGGCAGGAAAGAATAAGAGGCAGAGGGATAACCATACTGTGTACATGCTGAGACAAAACAGTAAAAATATACCACTATTTCTACAAGTATTTTTGGCATCATCAGTAGGTGACACAATGATGGCTAAACTGCAAGAAGGGCTAAATTTGTTATATTTTCACTCAGGTTTCTTCTGTAAATTTAAGCTCACAAGTTTCTGGGATTCAGTGCATGTACATCATATTCACTACAGCAGTACTGTCAATAAAGACACAAATGCAGCATAATGAAATCCTTTACTGACAACATTTCACCCACACAGTAGGTGAAATGTCAAACATATCTATCTGGAGAGAGAGGATGTGCAAATCTTTTTCTTTCTTTCAACAAACCGGCCATATCCCACCGAGGCGGGGTGGCCCTAAAGGAAAAACGAAAGTTTCTCCTTTTACATTTAGTAATATATACAGGAGAGAAGAGGTTACTAGCCCCTTGCTCCCAGCATTTTAGTCGCCTCTTACAACATGCATGGCTTACGGAGGAAGAATTCTGTTCCACTTCACAATGGAGATAAGAGGAAATAAACAAGAATAAGAACTAGAAAGAAAATAGAAGAAAATCCAGAGGGGTGTGTATATATTTTCTTGTACATGTATGTGTAGTGTGACCTAAGTGTAAGTAGAAGTAGCAAGACGTACCTGAAATCTTGCATGTTTATGAGACAGAAAAAAGGACACCAGCAATCCTACCATCACGTAAAACAATTACAGGCTTTCGTTTCACACTCATTTGGCAGGATGGTAGTACCCCCCTGGGTGGTTGCTGTCTACCAACCTTCTACCTACAAGGATGTGCAAATATATTCACCATATATGCACACATCCTTTCTTCCCAGGTAGATAGATCTGCTTGCGACTTGATAAAGACTGCTGTGAGGGTGAAATGTTGTCAGTAAAGGATTGTATTATACTTCATGTCTTATCCATCTTGTTGGCATTTTATACCATATATCTCTACAGTACCTAGGCAGTAGGTTGGTAGACAGCAACCGCCCAGGGAGATACTACCGTCCTGCCAAGTGAGTGTAAAACGAAAGCCTGTAATTGTTTTACACGAACGTAGGATTGCTGGTGTCCTTTTTTTCTGTCTCATAAACGTGCAAGATTTCAGGTACGTCTTGCTACTTCTACTTACACTTAGGTCACACTACTCATACATGTACAAGCATATATATACTACACACCCCTCTGGGTTTTCTGCTATTTTCTTTCTAGCTCTTGTTCTTGTTTATTTCCTCTTATCTCCATGGGGAAGTGGAGCAGAATTCTTCCTCTGTAAGCCATGCGTGTTGTAAAAGGCGACTAAAATGCTGGGAGCATGGGGCTAGTAACCCTTTCTCCTGTATAAATTACTAAATTTAAAAAGAGAAACTTTTGTTTTTCTTTTTGGGCCACCCTGCCTCAGTGGGATATGGCCGGTTTGTTTTATACAGTATTACTGTATAAAAAAAAAAAATACAATACAGTGGACCCCCGGTTTATGATCAGCTCCCAATGCGACCAATTATGTAAGTGTATTTATGTAAGTGCGTTTGTACGTGTATGTTTGGGGGTCTGAAATGGACTAATCTAATTCACAATATTCCTTATGGGAACAAATTCGTTCAGTAATGGCACCTGAACATACTTCTGGAATGAAATAATATCGTAAACCGGGGGTCCACTGTATAATATTACATTGTAAATACAATTGCATTATATACTATGTACTGCTAATTTTTTCAGTAAAATCACTATACGTACAGTGGACCCTCGGTTATCGATCGTAATCCATTCCAGAAGCTCAGCCTAAAACTGAAATAATATTTCCCATAAGAATTTATGTAATTACAATTAATCCGTTCCAGACACCCAAAAATATTAACAAAAAATACATTTTTAAAGATAAATTATAGTTTTACATGCACAAAACAATGAGAACTAAATAAAATAAATGAATATTTAAATCACTATTACATACTTTTATTGAAGACTCTTGTTGGCTTATGGAAGACAAGGAGAGGGGGAGGACTGATTATTGTTTGGAAAGGGAATCCTCCACCATAAGGATTTCAGTTATCAAAGCCTTCTCTGGGGTTACATCCCTTCTTTGTTTTTTACTGCCACAGGGACCAGCTTGATAGTCACTGCACCCCTGTCGCACAAAAAAACTGTCCAGAGAGGTCTGTTTCTGGTGTCTCTAAGATTTCCCTGAAGTGGGACAAGGTTGTCACTGAACATATTGCAGATATGGCTTGTTTCAGCTAAGTCAGGGTGATATTTCTCCACAAAAGTTTGCACCTCATTCCACTTTGCACAAATGTCCTTAATCACTGAAGAAGGCACCTTCTCCCCTCTCTCTTCCTCCTCCTCTGAAGCAATTTCCTCAGCTGTGGTCTGTTGCTGTTCCAGATGAAGGTCCTGCAGCTCTTCAGTGGTTAGCTCTTCCCTGTGGTCCTACACCAACTCTTCCACATCCTCGCCATTAACCTCCAACCCCATGGACTTCCCCAAAGACACAATACACTGCACAACAGGAGTAGGGTCCTCAGGGTCAGCCCCAAACCCTTCAAAATCCTTGTTGAGGACACATTCTGGCCACAATTTTCTCCAAGCAGAGTTCAAAGTCCTGGAAGTCACTCCCTGCCAAGCCTTACCTATAAGGCTTACGCAGTGGAGGATACTGAAACGATTCCTTCAGAACTCTCTTAGGGTCAAGTCAGTGTCCGAGGTCTCTTCAAAGCACCTTTGAAACACTGCTTTCGTGTAGAGTTTTTTGAAGTTAGAAATGACCTGCTGGTCCATGGGCTGGATGAGAGGAGTGGTGTCAGGAGGCAAGAACTTCGCTGTTATAAAACTGAAGTCCCTAAACAATTGGTCTTCCAAGTTTGGAGGATGAGCAGGAGCACTGTCCAGTACCAGGAGGCACTTGAGTGGCAATTTATTTTCCAGGAGGTATTTTTTTCACACTCGGGCCAAACATATCATGGACCCACCCTTCGAAAATTTGTCTTGTGACCCATGCCTTATTATTAGCTTTCCACATCACACACAATTTACTCTTGACAATATTGTTTTTCTTGAACACTCTGGGATTTTCAGAGTGATACACCAGTAAAGGCTTCACTTTGAAATCCCCACTAGCATTACCACAGAACAAAAGAGTAAGCCTGTCTTTCATAGGCTTGTCTCCTGGCATTGCCTTTTCCCCCTGTGTGATGTAGGTCCTCTTTGGCATTTTCTTCCACAATTGAACACTTGTTGGGGCAGGACTCCTTTAGCCTCTACGTACTCTTTGAATTCATGCACAAATTTTTCAGCCGCACATTGTCTGAACTTGCAGCCTTGCCATGCCTTACAACACTGTGTATGCCACTACACTTCTTAATTAAATCTCTCAAACCAGCCTTTGCTGGCCCTAAATTCACTAACAGCAGCACTCATTCCAGGCATTTTCTTAACGAGATCCGCATGCAACTACCTTGCCTTTTCACAAATGATCGACTCCACAACACTATCTCCTGCTAATTGTTTTTTGGTGATCCACAAGAAAAATAACTTCTCCCTATCTTCCATTACTGTTTCATTAGAACATTTACTCCTTCCGCAACATTAGCTTCCTTGATTTCTACTTTTTTTGCCAGGATGGAAGTGATTGTTGATTTGGATTTCCCATACATCCTGACAAGTTCCAGCACCCGCACGCCACTCTCATACTTTTTAGTAACTTCTTTCTTAAATTCCATTGTGTTTCTCACTTTCTTTACCAAAGGAACTTTACTAGGAACTTTCTTCGAGCCCATGGTTGCTTATTTCGCAGTTGCACTCAATCAAAAACCACAAAATCAATGGATTATAGCAAAATGTTTGGATGAATGAGCAGGAGGTTCCTCACTCACCCAGAGACACGGCCACACTGACTCACGAATGCACGAGCGGCTGCCGGGCGGCGGGTGGACGCGTTCAATATAACCGATAAGTGAAATAATGGCTGATAACCAGAATAAAATTTTGGTCAAAAAAATGTGTGATAATCGAGTTGGCTGATAACCGAGGGTCCATTGCACTATAAAAAATCTGAGTATTCTTTACCTCTCCAGCAGTAAGCTCTCAAGACAGCCTCTACATAAATACTAACCAATGTATACAGTATCTCTGCCATAGACAACTAACACACCAGTCTCACATTGGCTTTGTAAGGCAAATATAACACCACACCAGTCTCACACTGGCTCTGTCACTCTGTCAAACACTAAAACAACACACCAGCCCCACACTGGTTTTGTCAGACACTATAACAACACACTAGCCCCACACTGGTTGTGTCAGACCTATAACATCACACCAGTCTCACACTGGTTATGTCAGACCTATAACAGCACATCACAATATTTGTGAACTGTTTGGAAAAGAATGCCCAATAGCCAGGTCTCCAACCAAACTCCATAAACTGAAAAAAGAACTATTTCAGTGTTTCTCAGCCAAATTTGTCAGATAACCCACCATGGGGCAGGGGACCACTGAGAAACCAACACATTTTTAATTACTGGGGAACATTTGTGTTGCCTTGGGTAACAAGCTTAATGTATTCTCCACATTCTTTGTTATGGGTATTTGAATCAGAGTATTATGATAAAATTACCAGCATTCAATTATTCACAAACAAATGAACAGAAAGGTAAAAAGAAAAAAAATTCCAAATTTCCCGTTTTCACAATAATTCCACCATCATTAACGCTGTGAAACTG